ATATATATATATATATATATATATATTGCCATTGTATTTACAGTAAATATTGGTTGTAGTCATCCCAAATAAAACTAGTGTAATTTCTTACAGGACTTGATGAATGAAATGAGGACAGTTGGTCAGTTGAAGCTCTCGACCTTGACCTCTCTAAGTGGCTTTAAGAATCTGGCAAGGACCAATGCAGACATGTTCCTGTTTTTAGTTTTCTACATTCGCCTTAGAATCTAGCTGTTTTTATGTTGATTTTCTTTTTTTTAGCCATCCTATTTGTTAAAAACTAAATAAATAAAAATCTGTATGACTTTTAATAACTGTTTATTGTTGTCATCATTCTTTGTTGAAATCAGGTCTCTCTTGTAAATGAGTCCTCGAGGCTCAGTGGGATTTACCTGTCTAAATAAAGGTTGAATGGTTGAATGAATGGTTATTATAGGAGGTGATAAAGTGGAATGCAGCGGTTTTGGGGGCCAGCACAGCTGTTGGAGTCACGGTGAAGGGCAGAGATGTGAGACTGCAGCACGGTGCGCAGTGACCTGCTGCATCCACTGGGGGAGGACCGAGCACCGCCTGCGTGCTGCGGAGCAGGGACGACTTTCTCTTCATCACTACACGCACACACACGCACACGCAATGGGAGGGATACAGGCGTATAGGTAGGCAGACAAACAGATGTGTGATGTTCAGACTTAGCCTTGGGGCTTTTCCCCCCTGCCTGTGCCAAGGTAAACTTTTACCCGCCCTCCCTTTTTTCTTCTTCTGATCTCGGTCGTGTGGAGCTATTGATGCCAACTCGCACCTGATCCGACCCCCCCCCCCCCACCACCACCACCACCACCACCACCCCGCCTTCTTTATCACTCCATGACCACTGCTGTCAATTCACCAGGAGCGATGCCGCAGAAACGGGGGCTCGGGTGCCAACAGATCCTGTTGAATTGAGACGAGACGTCGACGCGCAGCCACAAAAGTGTCCCTCAGAGTGCGTCAGAGCACGGATGGATCTGCTGGATGTGTTCGCCCGTTGGATACGACGAGGGATTTTTGATAATACACCCCAAAACCAAGAGGCGGATCTGAGCCCTGGCGGAGAGCTGCATCCTCCTCCGACACATTTGTTCCTATGAGGGCTGGGGCTGTTTTATTTGGCCCCCTTTCCGACGTAAGTGTGGATGAATGAAATGATGACACTTTATGTGTGCGTAATGATTATTGTTAATCCGCCCTGCGTTTATTCCTCCTATACAGCCTAATAAATATATTAATAAATATATTAATAATAATAATAATAATAATATGAATGAGCCGGTGAAGTTGCGTAATATCCTGTATAATTTCCTCACCGAACCAGCGATTAATTTTAACGCGTTAATTTTTGTTGCTTTGTCTTTTTCTGTCGCAGCTCCAGAGAGCGCCACGGAGGAGGGGGATAAAAAGTCAGAATCACCGGAGCTTCGGAGGACAGCAACAAATCGTTTCTGAGGAGCAAATCTCATCATCGTAAAATGGCAACCACGGCTGACCACGGAGGATCAAAGCACGCGCCTGAGCGCGAGCCGCCGAGGAATTAAACCACCTGATGGGCACCGAGGAGGGACTGCTCCCGTGTCGTTTGTTGACTCGGTGATTTATCATGAGCTTCTGCAAGTTTCACTAACAGCTGCGTAACAGGCTGTATGCCGCCGGCCCTCCTCGGGGCTTTGCTTCTGTTTTATTTATTTATTAATTTCGGGGTTATGGTAATGATGTCATAAACCCCAGCGGCGCGCGAACACAAGGAGGATGGACATGGACTCCAGGCAGTATGGACCCAACTGAGGTGTGTTTGTTGTTTTCACTTTCTTCCATCTGATTGGTCGGAAGCGGTTGATGCCTCAGCCGGTCCGTCTGTGCGCGCGCCGAGCTGCAACTTGTGCGTCCACACCTCCGCTGCGCCTCCGCGGATCCACTTAAAAAAAGGAAAGAGAAAGAAAGAAATCAAATAAAATGGAGTTTGCCATGGTGGGCGCGGACGGCGGGTGCAACAGCCACCTGCCCTATGGGTATGCCCAGGCTCGCGCGCGGGAGAGGGAGCGCGAGAGGGAGCGCCAGGCCGCTCATTCACGAGCAGCGGCTGCAGCTGCTGCGGCCGAAGGTGCGGAGGGAGGAGGAGGAGGAGGAGGAGGAGGGGGGTCGGGCTCCATCGCCTCCTCCGGCGCTCATCTCCTTAACAACCGCCAGCATCAGTCTCGCGCCGCCTCCTCCGCGAACATCAGCAGCGGCAGCGCCGCCTCGCGCCCCTCCTCCTCCTCCACCTCCTCCCAGCAGCAGCTGGAGCCCGAGCAGCAGCAGCAGCAGCACAGAGTTCTCAGAGAGCGCAAAAAGCAGCGCGGCGTCGGACGCTGGAGGCGCAACCGGAGCGCACTCGGCGGAGATCTGCGCCACTCGGAGCTGGCGCTGCTCGGATCGGAGGAGGACATCATGATCGAGGAGGAGGAAGAGGAGGAGGAGGAGGAGGGGGGAGCGGAGGAAGAGGAGGGCGAAGGGGAGGAGGGGGCCCGAGTGAGCAAAAGGTCGAGCTTTCTGTGCAACATGATGATGGAGGATGAGGAGGAGACGGACCGGCGGCCCCAGTCCGGGTACGAGAACGTGTACAGCGAGTGCGGCTGCTGCGAGCGCGTGGTCATCAACGTGTCCGGCCTGAAGTTTGAAACTCAGCTCAAGACCCTCACTCAGTTCCCGGACACGCTCCTGGGGGACCCGGACAAGCGCATCAGGTATTTCGACCCGCTGAGGAACGAGTACTTCTTCGACCGGAACCGGCCGAGCTTCGACGCCATCCTGTACTACTACCAGTCGGGGGGGCGGCTAAAAAGACCCGTCAACGTCCCGTTCGACATCTTCTCCGAGGAGGTGAAGTTTTATGAACTCGGTGACGAGGCCATCCTCAAGTTCCGCGAGGACGAGGGCTTCGTGAAGGAGGAGGAGAAGCCTCTGCCGGAGGACGAGTTCAAGCGCCAGATCTGGCTGCTGTTCGAGTACCCCGAGAGCTCGAGCCCCGCCAGGGGGATCGCGGTGGTCTCGGTCCTGGTCATTGTGATCTCCATCGTGATCTTCTGCCTGGAGACGCTGCCGGAGTTCAGGGATGAAAAGGAGTACCTGCAGCCGCGGCGCAACAACTCCTCCCAGCCCGACCCCAGCTTCACGCCCTTCAACGACCCCTTCTTCATCGTGGAGACGGTGTGCATCATCTGGTTCTCCTTCGAGATCATCGTGCGCTTCTTCGCGAGCCCGAGCAAGACGGCGTTCTTCAAAAACATCATGAACTCCATAGACATCGTGTCCATCCTGCCTTACTTCATCACGCTGGGCACGGACCTGGCGCAGCACCAGGGCAACGGCCAGCAGGCCATGAGCTTCGCCATCCTGAGAATCATCCGCCTGGTCCGGGTGTTCCGCATCTTCAAGCTGTCCCGGCACTCCAAGGGCCTGCAGATCCTGGGCCACACTCTGCGCGCGAGCATGCGGGAGCTGGCGCTGCTCATCTTCTTCCTGGTCATCGGGGTCATCCTCTTCTCCAGCGCGGTGTACTTCGCCGAGGCGGACGAGCCCACGTCGCAGTTCACGAGCATCCCCGACGCGTTCTGGTGGGCTGTGGTCACCATGACGACGGTGGGCTACGGCGACATGAAGCCCATCACCGTGGGGGGTAAGATCGTCGGCTCCCTGTGCGCCATCGCGGGCGTCCTGACCATCGCGCTCCCCGTGCCCGTCATCGTGTCCAACTTCAACTACTTCTACCACCGGGAGACGGACAACGAGGACCAGCAGCCCGTGGTGGAGAGCGTGCCCCCGGGCTGCCCCTACTTCCCGGACTTCCTGCGGAAGTTCAAAGGCTCGCCGTCGGGCTCCTCGCTCGGTGACAAAGCGGAGTACATGGAGATGGAGGAGGGGGTGACGGAGTCGCTGTGCGGCCTGGACAAGAGCCCCAGTAAAGGGAACGGCACCGACATAAGCAGGAAAAACAGCACGAACTCTAAATCGATCCAGACTGACGTGTGATTACAGTTTTATTTGATTTTACTCCCCCCAAAGAAGAAGACACTTTCTGCGCAACAGCAGCTGAATCCCTCCATCCTTAACCCAACACGAGTTTTACGCACGCCTCAAACTCCCCCTCTTCTCCCCCACACACACACATTCACACACACACGGCACAGATTGGCACTTTTGGGAGCAGTTATTCATCTGTCTGATAGGCTAGATCGATCTCTCCATTTTCTCTTGTGCGGGCTTCCAAATCCGACGTGACACCTAAATTAGGAAACAGGCTATGCATTCGCACTTTATGAGTTTTATCCATTAGAGGGGTATATGTTTTTTTTTTTTTTTGCTGTTATGCAATAAAGTTAAAAATTTGTTTGCACTAGAATTGGGGCGAGACAGAAGCTGTAGGCCAGGTGGCACCACTGTAGTCATCCTCTGCTCAGTTTGGAGACACAAGGTTTTCATTTGCTGCTAAATTGGACTTAAAAGCCCACGAAACGTAAGGCTTTTGTTTTAATCCAACATTTAACATAAACAAATATAATATTTATATATATTTATTGGTGAGACGTGGCACTTAGCAGGCATTAAATCAACCAGGGCTGCAACAAATAAGCTTCTTCCCCCCCCCAACGAGAAGCATATTGTGTGACCATGAGAGCTATAAGCACAGAAATCAGAGTTTAAAAATGGCTGCAAAAGTGACTCGCCCCCAGCTTTTGTATGGAGCCTTGGCAACAACCTTTTTTCATTCAAACCACCTCAAAATGACAATATCCCTTTACACAGATGGAGATGGAAAGTTACAGCATCAGTGACTCTGTCCAGCTTGGAGGAGCGTTTACGAGTGGGTGCTGGACTCAGTGCACAAATATATATAAATAATATTTTATTTTTCCTCAAGAGGACTTTGATTATCTTAAAGCTCAGAAGTGGCAAGATGTGGATGTCTTCCAAGGTATGTGGCTTTTATTTGCATTCTGTGGTGATGAAGTTGTGTTAGATTACTCGTGAAAACATTTTCAGTGCATTCAGATCTCCAACATTAAAACCAGTGGTTCCCAAAGCAGGGGGTCGCGACCCCACACTGAGAGGCCTCATGAGTTCCAGAAATAAAAATTGGAATTGGAGTTGATTTCTAATAACATGTTTTTAGATAACTGATCCACGAAAACATCGTAAATGTATGGGAATTGTCCAGCAGTCTTTGAGGTTGTTTATATTTGATATATTCTGGTGTTTTTAGCAGCGGCTGCAGAGTTGCAGGTCTCTGCCACTGTTTTTATAATGTGGGCCTGAAGTGAAAAGTTTGAAAGATTGTGGCTTAAATCGCAGAATGACGCATGAATACACGTGCACAAAACACAGCACACAACAGAGGAGGACGTAAAAGGAGGATTTTGAGTTTATTCATATTTACAAATGGAAATGCTTTATTGGAACAAGTTCTTTTTACACACAGGCTCTTTCCAAGAAGAAAAAGCTTTTGGTTTTCATTAACTTGGATGTTGTGTGTGCGTGTGTGTGTGTGTGTGTGTGTGTGTGTGTGTGTGTGATGTTGGGTAGATTTTATTTCTTTTTATTTTTTTACAGCTCTCTGCTAAAGGAGTAACTTTCTCCATACTCTTAACTTAAATCCTAAAGAACTGAACAGGATCCAGACTCACTATTAGTGAAATGAAAACTCCGAGGTCTTAATATCTCTGCATGTGTTCTTTCATTGAAGTAAGAGTTATTTTTAAAATGTCTTGGTTTGAATGATCCTATGGGTTGGTCATTGGTGCAGTTCATTATTGAACAGAATTATTTACGCAACAAAACAAAGCTTAAAGTGGCCTCATGAATGTTTCTAGCAGCAGCAGAGATGAGGTAAAGAAGGTTTAGATTACCTATAAATAAATAATAGTTCAAGAAAAATACATCTATTTGTTCTACCAGGAAGGAAGAAAGAACTGAAAGCTTTGGGCTGTAGCGTTTCTGCATTCTGTGAAAAAGTTGTGAAGTTGTTTGTTTCTGTTAGAAAAGTTTGAGCTCAGTCTGATACCATCTCACAGTGCTTTAAAACACCAGGAGACAAAACCAAAAATATTCACATACATTTACAACTTAATACATTTCTAATAGCTGTTTCTGATAAAGCCTCAGCTTTTTTTTAATGGGATGCATCTCGCCACCCCCAGTTCACGCCAAAGTTTTAAAGTACCGTATTTTTCGGACTATAAAGCGCACTTAAAATAGTTGAATTTTTTTCAAAAATCAACGGTGAGCCTTATGTATTAATTCTGATTGTGCTTACTGACGTTGAACTGATTTTATGTGGTTATTAAGAATGATTTGAATAAAGTTTGACATCTGTTTTGTTTCACTTAATGCACTTTATAATCCGGTGCGCCTTGTAGTCCAAAAAGTCTACGGTAAGGTCAGCGGTTGCTGAGAAATGAAATATTGTGAAGCTTGTGACATATATTGATGCTCGGACGTGTGTTTGTGTTAAGAATGACTCTCAGCGACTACTACACCAAGTTTATGTTCAGTATCTGCAAAACTGATTGAGTCAGTCAGTTCTGTGCTGGTTAATATTCTCATCTTTATCTGGTGTGACTCCAAAAGTTAATCTCTTGTAGACGTGCATCTAGTTATTACTTTCTGAAAGTTTCATTAAAGTATGTCCAGTGGTTCATGAAATATTTTGCTAACAGACAAACAAGACTGTGCAACAGGTGACACCGAAAGTTTGAGCAAACATGTTGCATAACATGCAGCACTCAGAGTAGGTGCTGGATGACTCTTAGCAACTATCAAACCAAGTTTTAGCTCAATATCTTTCAAACTGACAGAGTTAGAGTCATTTTTGTGTTGCTAATGCTAATCAGCTGTGGTGGTTATCTTAATGCCGGTATGGTTCAGAATCAGAATCAGCTTTATTGTTATTGCACCGAAGCACAACAAAATTACATTTCAGTACAGCCCGTCAGAGAAAACATAAACAAAGAGACATAGGGAGACGGAAGTGTGTGAGGCCGCGGCCTCGTGGGAGGCGCTGCCATTTTCATTAGATAGGAAAAGAGAAACACGAGAGAAGGGGAAGTATAAAAAAAATCATATCTCACACTGTGTCCTAGACAGGACACAACAGGTGACATCTGTCAGGACACAGTGTGAACGTTGAAAAAAAACAAAACAACTCAGCACAGTCTAGAGCAGGAGGGAAGCAGGAGTGGGAGGGAAAAGTGTTGAGAGCAAGCAGGAAAAATATTCATGACATATTTTGCTAACAGACAGACAGGGTTGGTGCCAACCAGTTAGTGCTCAAGTCTTAAGCAAAAACTTTGCACGATATGTAAAGCTCCAACCACGTGATGCGGATCAGGCTCAGCTACTACCACACTGAGTTCAAGCCTAAATTGGCTGGGTCAGTTGTCTGCTGTCTATGGTGGCCATCTTGAATACGACTGACTCTGAAAGGTATTCAGTTGTAGATGGATGCTGAATTACTTTATTACAATCTGTCCACTGGTTCATGCAATATTTTGCTAACACTATATAAACAGACATTATCACCTTCGGTGGTGGGAGATAATAAAGACGACACACTCGTCACTAATTCAATCAATGCATCTCAGGACTAAATCACAGCGTCAGCAGCTCATCATATTTTACCCCAACGTGTGTTTAGACCCCCAGAGGGTGTTCATACAGGATATTTTTACCACCTGCACCCACCACCAAACATCTACAGCACCACGGTGACTCGGAGCCAGCCCCCCATGCCTCAAACTTCACTCTTACATAATGTGGCTTACAGCGAGAGGCACAATCCCAACCAAATTTCAAACACTGAGAGTGTGTGGTTCTGACATGTTCTGAGGCCTGCTGAGCTGACGGCGACTAACAGCCCGTATCATCAGCAGCCCACTGTTCGCAGCATCTTAACGGACACACGTGAGGCTCAGATTTAAAACATATGGCCGGGTCATCTGCAGAAGAAAAGAAGCAGAAGAAAAAGTGGGGAGTTATTTATGGTTGTTTCCCCCAAAAGTATGCTGTGTCTGTCAAACGGCGTGAGGGAGAGGTGGAAAGAGACCGCCTGAGCAGTAGATAATGTCAGGCTGGGTTATGTAATCCTGGGAAGAGCTGAGAACAAACCAGTCGGTCCGAGCAGCAGGCAAGCCAAGTGGCTGTTCTGCTAATCAGATAAAAGGCGGACACAACTTGGCTCCGCCCATGTGTTTATAATCTGATTGTTTCAGTTACATTTCATTATGAGAACCTCATTGTTTTGTCTAAAGATGAGGACTCTATTCTTCTTTGTGAATGATTGGTGTTTTATTTCTCCTTTAAAGGAAGTACAGCTGTAGTACTACAGTGTTGTGGATGGACAGCTCTTTGATAAATGTGTGCTACTTTCTAGTCCACAGCAGTGAATCACAGAGTTTCAGCGAGTAGGAAGAAGTCTAGAGGTCACTTTAGTTAGAGACCAAAACCAAGCAAAAGCGTGGAAAGGGTTATTTTCTTTCACCAAAGTCCATGCTCAATAATCCAGGTATAAAATCCAACAATTTTCAGTCAGGTCATCTGGACGGTTTCTTTTTTGTGTGTGCTGCGACGTTTTGCCTTTGCCGTTTTGTTTATTTTCTTTATTATTCAACTTTAAAACAAATGAAAAGTCTGGCATTACGTGAAGGAATGTGTATCGCATGCCACCATCTTTTATGAGTTTCAGACTAAAATCATCTTGTGTTGAAGAAAAGAGTGGTAGCCATTTTGGTCAAACCTTGAAGATGATGCTATGCACTAATAATGTTCAGTCAGGTCATCTGGACGGTTTCTTTTTTTGCTGAGATGTTTCGTCCTTCATCCAAAGGACTTCTTCAGTCCAAGGAGCCACAAACAAACTGGAGTCCCACAAGCACCAACTTCCATAGTGAACAAAGAAATGTCCAGATGACCTACTTGAACATTGTTGGATTTGTACCTGGATTATTGAGCATGAACTTTGGTGTTTTGAACCATTTTGGCTTGGCTGCCTTAGAGGAGTTGATGGGAGAGAGGGCAGGCTCCAGAAACCATCTTATCACCAACAAACAGTTTTTTTTTTTCTTCCCACTATGGGAGTTGGTGCTTTTGGGACTCCAGTTTGGTTGTGGCTTCTTGGACTGAAGAAG